ATCTTTTCATTATTTCATAATATAAACATAATATATCAGTAAGATAAACGTTATGTATGATTATTTTACATAATCTTAAATTAATAATCCCGTCAAACTATTATCTTTACACATCACGTTTTAAAATACAAACCCAAGTGATGACGTCACAGTGTAGAGCTTTTTTTTTCCTGAATAAAAATTCATGATCAGATCATAAAATGTAACCCAGTTTTTTAACTTTAAAACTATGAAACAATATTTAGATGTAAAGTCTTTAAAGTTTTCATAACTTCTCTTTTCTGAGCATTTACTTTTTGAGTCAGGGGGTTCTGCCTCAGGTGGAGTTCAGGTACCGGTCCATTTGAGTCCTGAGTGATGGTGGGATGGATCAGACCTCCTCTTCAGTAATGAGGGCGTTGCTCCGGTCAGTCGTGATGAAGAAGGAGTTGAGTCTAAAGGCAAAGATTTGGATTTACTGGTCCGTCTCCAGCCCTCATCTGTGGTCAGGAGGTTTGGATCAGGACCAACATAACCAGATCCTGGATCTAAGCAGCTGAAATGAGCTTCCTTCATAGGGTGTGTGTGTGTTGGGGGGGGGGGGGGGGGGGGGGGCTCTGTCATCCAGGGAGAGCTGCTCCTCAGCATCAAAAGGAGTCCACCTCCTTTGGGAGATTTCCCCAGCATGTCCCACTGGGAGGAGACCCCGAACACCTCGGAGTCCACCAGAAGGAGCTGGAGGGTGTCTCTGGGGAGGAAGTGGTCTGGGTTTCTCTCCTGGACCAGTTGCCACCTCGACCCGACCACAGATCGGCGGTAGAAGATGGAGCTGAGTTGTCAGTCACGCGCAGCTGCCAGGGGTTTATCGTCTTCCAGTTCCAGTGAAACTCAGCGTTGTTGCTGCATCATCAGAACATGAAGCCTGAAGAGCCGTGCTTCTTGGGCCGGTTCAGAGGTTTAACGACGTGAAGGCGTCCAACACACGGAGACCCACACGAGAAGTTTAGAGTTGGTGAGAGCGTGCATCCGTTCAGGCTGAGGAGGAACCCTGGACCACATCAACGAGTTTGATCCCTGCGGAGCGAGGAGGGAGCGGGTCGGCATCAAACACCGCAGACCGAGGAGAGCCGGTCCAGACGGGTCTGAGGGATGAATATTCATCAGGAGCTCAGTGTGTGTGTCCTCTTGTTGTTCGTCTGATTAATGAATGAATACACAACAAATATAAACTCATCACAGGAGCGTCAAACCAAACGGTTCTGAAGAAATTAAATTATTCACAGCATCTAGGGATGGGAGTACTGTAACACCCCGACGGACCCAGTGGATCTTAACCGGGCCTCCAGGAGGAGGTCTGGAGTCCCTCCTGGTCCATGAATGAAAACACAGAAATACAAAACCAGTTTCTTTTAACCAAACGAGGCTCAACTGAGCAGAAGGTTCATCATTTAGAGGAAGAAATGCTCTGATCATCTTTGAAGTCAAAGTATTTTAATGGATAAACTTTGACGGAAACACCAACATCAGAACAAACTGAAGGTTTGCAGCAGACGCAGGAAGAAGACGACGACGCAGGTTTTACTTAAAGATCAGGCACAGAAGTTCTCGTGTTCGTCTTTGAAAGACGGCGAAGCGGCTGCCTGGGTCACGTGCTACGGAGCTGAGGTTCAGAGAAACACTGAAGCTACGACTTCAACCTGTGGTCGGCAACAGAAGAGAAACTCAACGAGTTCTACGTTAAAACATCAGATGAAGATTAAATCAGGACAACGAGCAGAGAAGCAGGGAGGAGACTGTGAGGAAGAGGAGTGGAGAGGAAGAGGAGTGGAAAGGAAGAGACTGTGAGGAAGAGGAGTGGAGAGGAAGAGACTGTGAGGAAGAGGAGTGGAGAGGAAGAGACTGTGAGGAAGAGGAGTGGAGAGGAAGAGACTGTA